GCAGACAGCTTGCTTATCAACTTGTTCATCAGTGGTTGACCGAGGGCCATCTTCTGTGCTGTCCCCGACTCACCTGAATTCCGCAGCCCACTTCTTAACAGTTGCATATGAAGGGCAGTCTTCAGCAAGTGTCTGTACCATGTCCTCATGCTTTTCCTTCGGTGTCATACCCTTTCTTTTGCAGATCTCTATCGATAACTCTAAGGCCGGATGAGTGTGTGTGTGTGTGTGTGTGTGTGTGTGTGTGTGTGTGTGTGTGTGTGTGTGTGAATGCACGGCCGCAATTTTCGACGGATTTGCACCAAAATTTATATGCACATGCTCCAAGTTAGAGGGAAGACCAACAGCGACTTTGCATTTCCCAACTCCCATCAATAGTGGAAATAATCGATTTTTTCATGCTTCTACGGCAGTTTTCATGTAGTTTGCGGCCATTTTCTACTGGCGAGAGTGGGAGACTATAGCTGGCTGCCACCAATAGGCAGGAATATTCTATTGGCCAGCGTGAGAGCCAACAGCTGACTGATACGAATGTTAACTAGCATGCTAGCATGCAAAAAAATCAATAGCTGCATTCGTCACAAGTGGGAAAAATTTAAATCTGCATGGCACTTTACTCCAATTGGCTCATTCGCTTGCTTAAACTCAACGCTGATTCTGATTCCGCAGAACTGGGTTGAGTGTGAAAAAGTATTTGTTAACATTCTTTTTTCATTCGGTTTTTCCAGTTACGAGCCCTTTTTAAAGCTGATCGTTTTGTGTTCATTTTTAGTTCTTTTTTCGTAACAGATTTAATGTTTAGTATAGAGCTTCGAAAAAATTCGCAGTGTGAAATAGGCAAGAAGAAAGGCATGTAGCAACATCAGCACGGCAAAGGGCACTCGCAAGGAAGGGCAAAAATATTTTAAGTCAAGTGATAGCGATTGCTGTCTGAGTCGTACGATTTTTTAATTTTTTTGATTTTAGATTTGTCGCACACCTTTTACCTTTGTATGGGCCTCACCTGCATAGAAATTCAGACAGGAACCTTAATTAGTTTTTTTTTTTTTCTAGTTGTATAAGAAGTGGTAGTGTATTGCCACACGATAAATGTTCAGCTAGGCCTCTTCTTTCTGGGTGAGGCTGGGAACTTTTTGAACGACCCTCGTAAATAAATCTTTTCATGCATTTTACACTGCACTTCTTTCATACGCTGACGTTTCTATATATTTGACCTTCATGAAAAGTCAAAGTCATCATTTTGAAATGAAATAGGAACTTGATTTTATCAACTACGAACCCGTTGTGTACTGGTTAACGTTGATTTTGGGGGCGACCCGACTGAAGGCCATCTTCTGTGCTGTCCCTGTCTCGCTTGAATTCCCTTAGCCTACTTCTTCATAGTTGCATAGAAAGCGAAGTCCTCTTCAAGTGACTTTTCCATGTCCTCATGGGTTTTCTTGGGTGTCATACCCTTTCTTTTGCCGCTACTTTATGACTGCTCGGACCTCTGCTTTGTTGACTACCAACAATTTTTAGATTGGGCAAAGGGTAACCCATCAATCAAAGCTCATGTTACTTTGTATATTGGTAAAGAAGTTGACACTAATCCATATGATTTGCTCGGTAACTATTTGCCATTTACTAGCAAAGCAATATCTAACCAAGAGTGTAAGAGCTGTTAGGCTTTCTTATGTCAATAAACTATTTTATGGCTGCTCGGGGCGTCTGTTTTGTCCATTTTTAGACTTTTCGCAAACCTCTCCTTTTTATATGGACATCAGCTACACAGAAATTAAGACAAAAATCTGAATTAGTTTTGCTAGTTTTATAAGAAATAGCAGTGTGTTGCCACATCAAAAATGTTCAGCTAAGGCTCTTCTTTCTGGGTGAGGCTGAGAACGTTTTGAACGACCCTTGTAAATTCAAGTTTTATATTAGGTTGTCGCACATGAAATGACGGGTTTTGGGGTTTGGTTGTTGATCTGGTCGTCTAACGAAGTACCGCATTCCCCGGCTTACAAGACGCACCCAAATATTGGAAATAAATTTCGAAGAAGAAAAAACGTAATTCTCATACAACAACACATTCACCATGCATCCCTCACAGACTGGCACCACGTATTGTTTACATTAATCACTCGTCCGATATTGTTTGTATGGCAATGACATACTAGTCAAGAGCAGAAAGGCTCCCGCCGCTGCTAGTAAATAGAGCATGTTTAAGATTGTGGCTCGGCTCCAGGAAGGTTTATAGTCTTGGAAATACTTGTAACAGCTAAGTAATGAGGTTATATCATACAAAAGGCTAAATTAGATCGCTAACATTATAGTGTAATGACTCAACATTTAAATCCACGTCCCTATCAGTCAAGCCTATTAGGTTACTTGAGCCTGGCGTTGCCTTAGAATACGCACACGTATTTCTCAGGGTATTTTTAGGACAAAAATTGCGTCTTGTAAGCCAGAAAATACTGAAAAATCAGTACATAAAAATATCTTGACTTTTGACTCTTTTTTTTTTCCAGATAATTTTTCTTTCAATATATTTGTTGTGACTTCGAGGCCTACTTTTCCTACTAACTTTATAGTAAGTGGAAGAGTCCACAATAGCCTCATTAGAGGGAGAACACCACAACAATATTTTTACTCATAAGCCCAATGAAATTGATTACAGGGAAACAATGTCGAGGAATCTTACTGTATGAGTACAAACTGGGGAAAAGAACTATTTTTGCATCGAATTATTACATGGATACTCTTTGACAACAGCAAGAGAGTAGGCCAGAGGTTAGATGCAAGTGAATAATCAAAACAATACCCAAAGGTTCTGCTGCATCCTAAAAAGTTAACGGTTACTGTATGGTGGTCTTTCAAAGGGGTTATTCATTATTCCTTCTTGCCTCAAGGGAAAACAATAACAGCAACAGCGTGTATGCACGAAAAAAAGAATGAAAAAGAGACAGACTTGTGAATAAGGATAGCTCAATTTTACTGCACGACAGCGCACATTACTCAATCAACTCTGCAAAAACTGCATAGCCTGAATTATGAAATTTTGCCTCATCCTCCAGATTCATCTCATATCACTCCTACTTATTAACACTTATTTTGAGTACATTTTGAGCTTTTCATATGCAATAAATACATTCTCTAACAAGAAAGAGGTGATCGAAACATATGAACTATCACATCAAAGAATGAGAATTTTTTAAATTTGACATCAAGAATTTAGACGTACGTTGGAGAACAGTAATGCTTATTTCAAGTAAATAAATTAGTTACAGAGTGCGATGGGTAAATTATCGCCATTTTTTATTCATCATTTCGCGCATGCGTGTTCTTTGTTTCTGATTTTGTTGACTGCACAGTATGGTAGGGTCAGTTGGGCACCGTCTGTGAGAAAAAAATGTATCATGACGTAATTCGTTCTGCCAGAAATTTGGAAATTTGCACTGCTTGGCATTCACACCGGAAGCTGAGAATATTTCAGAGCGTCTGGATGTTTTTTTCAAATATCTCCATTCTTGAAAGAATTACTCCAATCGCAAGCCAATATACATGATTATAAAAAAAAAAATCTAAATTAAAAGAAAACTCAGTTCGAAATTCCACCTGAAGAAGGCCGGAGCGTACAACGGCCGAAACGTTGTGATAAATATGGCGACAAAGATAAGGACAATAGTCCGAATAATGTAAATAATGTACATAATACCAACATTGACACACTTTTGTTTATTAAACATTAAATTATATCACTTAGCATACAATTCAACAAAAGACGATGTACATAAAAGCAATACCAATCCAAACAGATAACTGAAATCTTTTATAAGATCAGCGTTCCGTTTAAATATGATCACGTCGTCGTCACGTGGGCGACGTTGTGAAAACGTATTCCTAAAATTTGAGTATTTTGAATGAAAAACGAAAAGAATTTTATTTTGATCTAAAACTTATATGTACGTTTGTCGAGCATTAATCTTGCTAGAAAAGGGGAAATGTTGAATTGTATATGGTCTATGTCAATTATGTTTTATGAATATGTCCTGAAGATGGTCTATTAGACCGAAACGTCCGACGTTCACATTAAACATTAAAACAGCATAATCGCATATTAGGATTTTTGTTTGTTTTTTTCAGTATATTTTTCTTCATACTGTCAGATCTATATCCATATATTTGCCTACACACACACACATTATATATATATATATATATATATATATATATATATATATATATATATATATTGAAATATAGCGGTTGAAAGAGAGTCTCCCAAAGATCAATTGAATTGGTATACGGTAGTACCTTTCGAGAACTAGTATTGCAAATAATTGTAAGAGTGTGCAATTTTTAGGAGTACATTATGAATCTTAGGTGATTTTAAAAATCGGTAGGGGTTCTGCATATACAGCCGATATTTTTTTTATTGATTTTTCCGCTTTTATGCAGTTGATTCGCAAGTTCTTTGGCGAGCCTCTATCTGAGATCAAACGACTTATTCGCCACGAGGAAAATTTCGCACATAAAGACTTAACAGACATTCTTTGTTCGTTGTATTTGCTAACTAGATATAATATAGGATAGACGGATAGATATGAAAAAAGAACTGAGATAGATAGATAGATAGATAGATAGATAGATAGATAGATAGATAGATAGATAGATAGATGGCTAGATAGATAGATAGATAGATATCAAAAGAATGGAATTAGATAGATAGATAGATAGATAGATAGATAGATAGATAGATAGATAGATAGATAGATAGATAGGAACAGACGGGGATAAAGAGGGGTATACTGTCATATATAAATATGAAAATAATGAGATAGAAAGATAGATATGGACAGACTGAGATAGATAGATAGATAGATATCAAAAGATTGGAATTAGATAGATAGATAGATAGATAGATAGATAGATAGATAGATAGATAGATAGAAACAGACGGAGATAAATAGGGGTATACTGTCATATATAAATATGAAAATAATGGGATAGATAGATAGATATCAAAAGAATGGAATTAGATAGATAGAGATAGATAGATAGATAGATAGATAGATAGATAGATAGATAGATAGGAACAGACGGGGATAAATAGGGGTAGACTGTCATATATAAATATGAAAATAATGAGATAGATAGATAGATAGATAGATAGATAGATAGATAGATAGATAGATAGATATGAAAAGAATTAGATAGATGGGAACAAACTGATATATTTAGACAGATGGACAGTTACATCAAGTAGATAGATATGAAGAAATTATAATTATGAACAAATGCGTGCACGCACACACGCATATATATATATATATATATATATATATATATATATATATATATATATATATATATATATATATAAATGAGGCAAGATTGCGAACCATTTCTTCCCGTCGATGTGTTCAAGATGTATAGATATCGTTTTCTACATATAGATATCGTCAGATATATATATATATATATATATATATATATATATATATATATATAAAGAAACAATCACGCATAGAATCAATCAGAATCAATATATATATATATATATATATATATATATATATATATATATATATATATATATATATACACACACACCACCACCACCAGTTATCAAAGGGCTTTTTCGGTATCAGGAGACACTCACCTCACGAAAAGGCTTAATATACTATCCTCCCTGCTCTATTGAACAGAACATTTTCAAGCGAGCGCTACCGCTTTCAATATACCGTTTTAAAAATATCTATCTAAAAACCAGTGAAAATATTCTAGCGCGTTTTCCCCCTCTTCTGAATAACTTTGACATCAGGGTCGAAGCAGTGCAGAAATTGTGGGAATTCTCAGCGCTTTCATCTTTCAGAAGGCATTTTCAAAGCAATCTTACATTAGCTCTGCTAAAAATATATTTAGAATTTTAAATTTGTCACTACTCTTTGTTACGGGGGCGTTTGAATGTCACGTCGTCATGTGGTCGTTTGCTGTGCCGCTTTTTTTTATTGATTAAATACATACATACACCCTTGTGCAAATTAATTGAAACAACCCCTTTTGTTTCCTTTCTTCCACCATACGGTCATTTTTAGACAGGGTGTAATCGATTTCTATTTTTTCTTTTTTTCCTCAGATTAGGTCATTTCCAGTGGTGTGCAGTAATATGAATCTCTTTTCGGTGTGTAGGATGATTTTTGTTTGACCTTGAAAAATATTGCGTCATCCGTGATTGATTGACAACCAAACACTCTTGTCTCGACTGTCGATTAGTTGTCCTAAGGTTATTGTCTGCGATGGACATTACACCAAGGAAGCATACGAAAATTGTAACACTGCACGAACACACTGGCAAGCCTTACCAGTGAGCAAATCAAAGTTCCATAGACTGTCGTCCAGGAAACTCTCCTGATTTAAATCCAATCGAGAATCTGTGGTCAATCTGCAAGGAAAGTGGAATGGACAGACGAAGTACTAACATGTGCACTGGGTCATGTTTCATTAGAAAACTATGAAAAAATGGAAATAATAACAGAATTATGCGTTTTGTTTCAATTAACTTGCACAACGGTGTACATCTTGATTTCCTAAAGTCAGAACGGGGCGGATTCCTGTCGGGCCCCACCCCTGGTTAAGCCAGTCTATTTTTGTTCGCCTAATAAATGCGAGTGACAATCATTCCCGAACTAGTCCAGGAATTCTCTTTTGTTATTGTTCTTATCAAGATTCCCAATCTCTCCAGATTTTCCCCTGCTTTTTATCTTGACTGAATCAGCCTTATATATTTCCCCTTTCGCAAATTGATTGGCTCCTTCCCCCCCCCTGCCACGAGTGAGTGAGCTTCTTGATTCTGCTTGACAGCAGAATACAGCTGCCACTTGTGTGGACGGGACATACTATCACAGTTTTTTTTTTTTATTTTGGTTTAAATGTTTTGATTTCTTTTATTTTGATTAATTCAGTTGTAGACCAATCACGTTGTCAAGATAAACACTCAGTTGTGGAACAAGCTGAGTGAATGAACACTCCACCTTGAGAAAGAAAGCTATTTATGGTGCCGTGGAGCATCTCATTGTGCTCAGTTAGGATAGTCCATTGCTTGGGCTGTGATTGGCTCTTGGTACATGAGTGAAGGTATTTCTGTATAAATGCCAGTCAGTTTGCAGGGTTTGTATTGAGTTAAAACCTGCTTTATTTTTGTCTGCCAGCTGGACGCTAGCTGGGACCCTTACGCCGGTAAGTGCTGTTTATTCTGTTGTTATTCTACACGAGTATCTGTCTATATTTCTGAGATGAGGTATTATGTGCACTATTTACATTATTCGGACTATTGTCCTCATCTTTGTCGCCATATTTATTACAACAGTCAATATCAGCTGAGTGCTTCTGAGGAGTCAGTATTGAATAAGGGTCTCAACTTCACCACAACTATCAAGTGAGTGCCATACTTGGATATCATTGCCAGAGTCAAGGAGGTGGCCTTCCCTCAGGCTCAAGCGGATGAACTGAGATGGAAGATGAGACAGACCTTGGAGAAGGTCAAGCCGCCCAGGTCTAACATCACGAAACTGGAGAGGCTGGCGATTGGATCCATACAGAGGAACGAAAACATCATCATATTACCGGCTGACAAAGACAATGCGACTGTAGTGATGGACAAATCAGATTTTACAAGAAATCTGGAAGAGCTCATTAGCAATATAGAATCTATCCGCAATTCACACTCTCTACATTATTTGGACTGTTATCCTCATCTTTGTCGTCATATTTATTACAACGTTTCGGCCGTTGTACGCTCCGGCCTTCTTCAGGTGATTAGAACGTCGAACTGAACCCTTTATTTCGCTCACTGGGTTAAAGTGTTCTAGTTCTACGTGCCATGTTTAATGGATGTCAGTTATCAGTTATCTCCTGTTAATTCCCCGATCCAAGTTCTCCACTGCCTTAACCGGGTATTGAACTCACACTCTTTGTGTCCTGTCACTGGATCTAACTAACGCCTTTATCTACTGTGCCATGTGTCCCTGAGTTTATTCATTTCGACTTCTATTTCAAAGTCGAGGCTTTTGAAGAGTTTGAAAAGCGCTTTTCTCATATTGTTATTTGTTTTTCTGCTGCCTGGTGCTATCAGCAAACCGTCATCCCTATACAGACAATGTTTGTTTATACAGTGTAGCCCGGATATAAGAGACCCGGATATAAGAGAAACCCGGATATAAGAGAGATTTTCTCTGGTCCTAAATTAGAGCCTGTGTTAATGAGTACATACAGACCAAACCCAGATATAAGAGAAACCCGGATATAAGAGAAACCCGGATATAAGAGACTTCTTCTCCGGTTCCGACAACTCTCTTATATCCGGGTTACACTCTATGTACAATTTTCAAACCGCCATCCCTATATAGACCATGATTGTTTATATGTACAATTTTCAGACCGTCATCCCTATATAGACCATAATTGTTTATATGTACAATTTTCAGACCGTCATGCCTATATAGACCGTGTTTGTTTATATGCACAATTTTGACAATTTCATATATGTAGGCCTATTAATTCTGAAATCTCACGCCACCAAACGAATCTTGTGGTACATCGAAGCCGTCTTTTTTTTATTTCTTAAACCAGGTTACTTCATTGCAGAATAAAATTGATTTGCGGCAATGTAAAATTATTTCCGTTTGATCAGGTGTTATATTTACAAAGCCTTTAGCGAAGTACAAAGACTCCAGCAGATCTTTTTCAGATATAGATGTATAAAAATATTTGGAACCAAAAATTTAGTGATATTTTTCGCTTCCTCGTTTATACCTTTAATGTAATAGTCTGGTGCTTTTTTGTAAATTTTAGTGACTTCCACAAAATTACAAATATGTATTTATAAAATACGACATTAAAAACTTTTATCCATCTATATCTGAAAAAGGTCTGGTGAAGGCTATATACTTCGACAAAGGCTTTGTAAATATGGCACCTGATCAAACAGAAATAATATTACATTGCCGCAAATCAATTTTATTTAACGATCAAGCAAAATTAGAAATAATGGCATGTCCGGATCTCCCAAAACATTTTGAACAATAGATCCGAAATCATGAGCTGTTGCATACATAAAAAAATCATCTTAAGCTCATATGAGGCTGGTTAAAAAAAGTATGTACAATTACCCACCACCGATATATTTATAATGCACATTCTCTTCTCCTCCTCCACCACCTTCTATAACACCCAACGCCATTCGTTTGTCTATTTCTTTTTTAAAATATATAGCGTCCATTTACTTTTTTGTTAATAAAGTGTTGGGAGGTCAATAGAGATAAAATCGCCAGAGTATACCGTAAGGTTGAAACCAAGTTAGCGGAATCAATTAACCTCTTAATTTTAAAAGTATATCTCTATCTATAAAAGGCAGGATGTGTGTGTGTGTGTGTGTGTGTGTGTGTGTGTGTGTGTGTGTGTGTGTGTGTGTGTGTGTGTGTGTGTGTGTGTGTGTGAATGCACGGCCGCAATTTTCGACGGATTTGCACAAAATTTACATGCACATGCTCCAAGTTAGAGGGAAGACCAAGACCAACTTTGCATTTCCCAACTCCCATCGATAGTGGAAATAATCAATTTTTTCATGCTTCTACGGCACTTTTCATGTAGTTTGTGGCCATTTTCTACTGGCTAGAGTGAGAGCCTATAGCTGGCTGCCACGAATAGGCAGGAAGATTCTATTGGTCAGCGTAAGAGCCAACAGCTGACTGACACGAATGTTAACTAGCATGCTAGCATGCAAAAAAATATCGATAGTTGCATTCGTCACAAGTGGGAAAAATTTAAATCTGCATGGCACTTTACTCCAATTGGCTCATACGCTTGCTTAAACTCAACGTTAATTCTGATTCCGCAGAACTGGGTTGGGTGTGAAAAAGTATTTGTTCCTAACATTCTTTTTTCATTCGGTTTTTCCAGTTACGAGTCCTTTTTTAAAGCTGATAGTTTTGTGTTCAGTTTTGTTTAGTTCTTTTTTTGT